TCCTAATGGGCTCAACTTACACACTCCACCTATTACTACTTCTAACCATTAAAATAGGCCCAACTAATATTCTATACTTTCTAATATTATTGCAAATATTAATCAACTAAAATAATCAACCAAATAACAACTTAGAAACATATAGTAACTTTTCACACATTTCAAAAAATAATTTAATTAAATAATTAATTCAATTATCGGGTGTTACACTGTGAGCCACCGTCTCAGCCGCCGCAGGAGATTTCCGACGAGAGAGAACGAGATAGTGAGATCCGCAAGAGAGAAGAGATATATATTTCTGTCACAAGAGATAAGAAGACTCAACCCTAGTCTCTCTTTTCTAATCCCCTTTTGTTTGTTTATTTTAATTAATTAAATTTTTTTTGATTTGTTCTAGGATGAAGTTAATATAATATATCAGATTTATTATAATAACATCAACGCTAGGTGGGCGTAGTGATAAGTCAGGCATGAGGCTGAGGGCGTGGGTTCGACACCCACCCCTGACATTTTGAGTTTCATATTTATTTTCTTTTGTTTTCTAGGTACTAAACAGAATATGCTGACTCTCATTCTTCCAATACAAACAACGCAATGGCCCAATGGAGGATGGCACGCCTGTGAGATAAAGAGGGTGGGTTCAAGTCCTACTCCATGCAATTTCTTTTTACTAACCCTTTTTTCTTATTTATTTCCATTAACTCGTGTTTTTAACTAAAACAAATAATTAGTAATTGGGGCTATAACTAGTAGTTAGGTTTTCTTTGGCATATTTTTAACTAATCAATCAATTAGAATCAGGGTTTAATTAATCAATTTCTTAATCAATTAGAATTAGGGTTTAATTAATCAACTTCTTAATCATTTAGATTTTAGGGTCTTGTTAATTTAATTACTTAACTTTTCTAAATCAATTAAAAATCAATTAGTCGTTAGGTTAATCATCAAATATTTTCCATCATATATTTTTCCTCTTATTTTACAATCTCCGCGTGCCTTATTTTTCTTTGCGTTAGTTTTTCCTATTATGTAATTGCTACAGAATGTAATAGATTAATTAGGGTTTACTATTTCCCACAGTTTTATGGTTTTGTACCCCCACTCCCGAAGCCTTGTAATAGTTTAGGTTTACTTTCCGCACCTTTACTTCCCGCACCTTTTAATTTTCTCAATTTACTGCTTTCCTTATTACTATCTAGTTAATAGGATTGTATGGCAAAATCTAAAATCAACCGTTAGATAACCCTAATTGCAAGATTAATTAGCTGAATCAAATCACTCTTCACACACGCACCTCTAGGGTAACGTCACTTGTTGCCTTCAGATAAACATGGTTATGTCCCTCGAACGTAGGGATACCCTTAGCAAAGACCCGCAGTAAAAATCATCATAAATATCATAGTTCCGCGATGTCCCTCGAGTTGCCTACGAGAAATGATCATGTCCCTCATTGTTGCCTACAAATATATGATGACAGTCCCTTCGAACTGCTAAGATATCCGTACATGTTGCCTTCTATGACCATAACGACGACCCTACACATGTCCCTTACACATCCAACGATAGGGCTTCCTACTAACTAATGGTAGAATAGCACTATCTAAAGGAGGAGGAGAAGAACAAAAGACTTTTGAGTAAGGGTAGAAATTTTAATCGCTTGCTCATGCAAAACAAACATCTTTTCACAATCATGCTTTTCCCTGAAATATTTTCAAAATAAACATTTGTACGCATTCTCAAAGATACGAGAATCATTACAAATTTGTCGTACTTAGGAATTTTTTCAAAATATTTTCAAACACACAAACACAAAGCATTTTTCAAAAAGTGAGCTAGCGGTTAAGAGCCCTTAGATAACTACAGATGAAAAGGGTGTTAACACATTCCCTTTTCATAACCTACCCCCCGAACTCAGAAAATTCTCGAAGGTATTTCCTGTTCTTTTCGCCCTTTCCTTATTGGATAAATGAAAATTCGGTGGTGACTCTTGCTATTCGCAACATTTGCGATAAAATGCAAAACAAAATTCAGTTCTCCCACCGTGTTACATTTACCGAGTCCCGCCAGAGACAACGGTCCTCACATACCAGACTCAAGACAGTTTAGATAAACATGGAATTAAGTGTAAACAAACTAAACATAACGATTGCAATTAAGAACATCATTATAATTAAATTAAACAAACGAAACAATATAAATAAGAAATGCGATAAATAGAAACCTGTAGAATAAACTGGATTAAATGAAACTGGAATTAAATTTTGAAATTATATTCGCGTACAGTAATAGAAACTGAATTCATAATATGTCGGAACGCCTGACAATCAGGTACATAATTGAAATAAAAGAAAGAAACACCTAAAATTAATAATGTGGTAGTTCCTCGATGTGAGAAACTACCACTTTTACATGGTAAACTTTTCTACCTAAGAACTAAGAATAATAATCTGCTCTGAACGAAAAATAATGGAACCCCTTCTGTTGTGAAACTGCTTTCATTTTATAACATTTATGTTACATGCTTGTAAGGTACATCCGCTAAATCAAAACTCGTGACTTCATGGCCTAAGTATCCAGAAGACTCTATAAGTGGGAGAAATATCAGGAGACTGGGTTGGGTTTTTTAATTGGAGAGAACCATGCAACAACAAAAAATAACATGGCAATGGAAAAGTGTGGCGAGGGCCACACCCTCTTTAATTTGCATGGCGAGGGATATGGGTCATGTGGTGAGGTCCATACTTTGGGGGTATGTGGCGAGGGCCACAAAAGGTGTGGTGGGGGCCAAAGCCTTTCAACTTCAACTTTTTCTTTTCTGTTCTTATTTGTTTCTTTTCCAGTTTCTTATCTTTTCTCATGGAAGCTTAGTGGATGAAAATACCTGAAATATAATAGAAATACCAGCACAATACGACATAAATAAATAAAAATGATAACATAATTCTTGTGAGTCGATTCAAATAAACGATATAATTTCGCGTTATCAGGAAGGACTGCGCCTAGTCAAGGACCTGGGAGCCGAGGAGGTAAAAATCTTCACTGATTCCCAGCTCGTGGCGTCCCAAGTCCGAGGAGAATACCAAGTAAAAAATGACCATCTCGCCGAATATTAGACTCTGGTCTAAGACAGAAAGAAGAAATTCAAGTCAGTAGGCGTGCATCACGTCCCCCGCGAGCATAGCACCCGGGCAGATATACTGTTCAAACTAGCGAGCACAAAAAAGAAAGGTGGGAACAAGTCGGTAATATAGGATATTCTTCCCCGATCGAGCACCTTGAAATCCCCCTCGACTTTATAGTTATTATCCATAGGAGACAACAAATGATGGATAACCCTAATACACAACTACCTCACGAAAGGGGAGCTACCCACTGACCAAAAGGAAGCGACTGTGATCAAACGAAGAGCCTGCTCCTACATTCTAGTCAAAGGCAAATTATACAAGATGGGATTTTCCATTGCTCTCCTCAAATCCATCGACCAGAGTGATGCAACTCGCATCTTGCTCGAGATCTATGAGGGGATAAATGGCCAAAATCTGTGCAGAAGATCCCTCGCCATAAAAGCTTTGCGGATTTTGTATTATTGGCTCACCATGCAACACAATGCCAAAGAGCACGTAAAGAAATGCGACAAATGCCAGTGGCACGAAGACATGCACTTGGCTCTTCCAAAAAAGCTCAAGTCCCTTTCTTCTCCCTGGTGTAGCGGTGAAAATCGGAGATCGAGCTATTAATTAACTCGACTCACAAAAGCAAGAGTCGCCACCGCGCTTTATTATTTCCAAGGGAAAAGGGAAAAGAGCGAAATAAAACCCTAAAATATGCAATGTAAAGTAATATTTAAAAGTAATGAAAATACAATGCATTTTTAAAAGAGATCGAGAGTTCGGGGGTTGGTTATACAATGGGAAGGTATTAGCACCCAATACATCTGCGGTACTCCATAGGAACCTTTTGAAATATCTGTTTTTTGGTTAAAATTGTTTGTTTGATTAAAATGGTTCGTTTGGCTAAAAATGGGTACGAACGAGATTTTGAAGATGCGATGACCTAGTGTCAAAGTTTTGGCTTAAAAGGTGTGAGTTTGAAATTTGAATCTTTTAGGAAAATTATCTTATGTTTTTAATGAATGAAGGTATTCGCACGATTATAAAAAACGTATTTGATGACATGAAGTCAACAATTTTAAAACATTTCCCTTGGATTAGAAGCAAACAAATCAGAAAAAAAAAGATGAACATCACAATATAAGTAATCAAGAATTCGCAAGAAAATAAATTTAAACGAACTGATTAAGAAAAAGCAACGAAATATTTAATTCTAAAGGACTAAGACGATTAAAAAACAAACGAGGAGGTAACTAGTTATCTAAAGAGGATATGTAAATTACTAAGTTAATTCTAAACAAAAAGTAAGATTATGAAATTTCCGAATTACACCTAAATTGCGTTAAAGCTCTAAGATTTATTAAAATTCTAAAATTACTAAATTTAATCTAAGTTGAATTAATTCTAAAGTTACTAAACCGTGTCTAATATAAACTAAGTTGATTTCAAAGTTACTAAATTAAAATTCTTGAATTATTAAATTGAATCTAAACTAAATCAAAGTTTTAACTAAATTCCTTATGAAATTACTAATTTAATCTAAACTATATTAATAATAAAATTACTAACTTAAATCTAAACTAAACTAATTCTAAATTAAAGATTAAAATTCTAGGACTAAATTAACATTCTAAAGTTATCGAAATGTAACTAAACTAATTAAAGGTTTTAACATTACTAATTTATATCTAATTAAATTAAAACTCTAAAGTTATCAAATTAAGCCCTAAACTAATCTAAATAATTAAGATTATCTAGTTAACTAAAACATAGTTGTTTAATTAAATATATAAAATACCTAGATTGACTAAGCTAATTATTATTTAAGATAAATAAATTGAAAGAGTGTAACAAAAATTATTGGAGGGGGAATAATAAAAGCAGTTGGGCCTAAAAGGAAAAGGAAGCTAGCCCAGGTTTATAGAAAAAAGGTTTATAAAAGAACTTTAAAAAAAAAACAATGGGTCGGACCGGGTCAGGCTGGACCCGGATCCACCCATCTTTAACAAATGCAAAGGGGTTGGATAACCCTAAATCCCAGCATCTCTTCTTCAAATAAGCGCTAATCTGCCAAACGTAACCGTATGGATCAGTTACCTTCCTCACACGCCCCTCACCAGACGCACCTTCAATGTCCACAACCGCTCCACCTTTCACAGCCTTCGCTATCGCACCTTCAACGTCCTCCGTCTCCAAAGCAAAAGCGACACTGTTTCCACCACTCTTCACCGGTGTAGCGGAATCATCAACGGTATTAACAACAAGGAACAAAGAGCCAGCGATCTTGAGTTCAGCCGAGAGAACATGATGAATCTCCTGATCAGCCTTACGCTTAGGGTTCAGAGTGCGCGAAACCTCTCCAGCACCTAACACATTCTTGTAGAATGCAACTGCGACGTTGGCTTTTGGAGCTTCGACGAAGAGGTGAGGCTTGAGAGCAGCGAAGGAAACGGCAGGGAGAATGAAATCGTCTTCCTCCATTAACGTTTTTGGAGAAGATAAAAAAAGAGTTATAATAGGACAATAATTAGAAAAGGGATTAGGGTAAAGAAATGTTACATTTTCACATTTTTGCAAGCGAACAATTTCTCCATCCTCTCAAATTTGCAAAGCGCGGCGGCCAGGCTCCGACTCCAATCGTCCTTAGCTTTTGAAACGTTTCTCCTTTCTTCCTCGCGCCGCAGGTCTTCTGAATCTTTCATCGTACTTTGATCACTTCCTCGTTTGTCTCTCTACTCTGTTCTCTTTCATTTTTGGTATAACAACGACTCACCGATTTTGATTTCATGGTAACAGGCAAGTCTCGATGTGCTTCTCGCGATTTCGGTTCAACATCAAGCATGTAGGTGAAGTGATTTTCTCCGGAGATTGTTCAGGTATCTTCAATGCTAACTCACTGGATCTCCACGGGGCTCTGAGTTTGAATGATTTAGAATGAAATTCTGTTCAAAACTCTTTTTTGGCTGTAATTTATTTATGTATTTTTCTATTAGGATGAGTTGTTAACGGTGAAGGGTATTGAAACAAGGTTGAAAAATTGATGTACAGTAGAAAGGCTTTTGTGGTGATGGTTTTGTGTATGAGTTAGCTAGGGTGCGTTTAAGGTGGGTTAGCGGAATGGGTTGTGATATTACTGCATTGATGGAAGACACACACAGAAGCGGAAAATTGAAGGGATGAATGGAGTTTGGTGTTTGTGAATGTTTAAGAGGAAGGAGGCAGGGCCATAACAGCGAGATGATGGTTGGATAGAGGGTAGTGTATTGGTTTATTGTTGTTTTGTGAATGAATACATTAAAAAGGGGTTAAGGTAGTGTGGTGAAAAAAATAGAAACAGGAGGATGAGTTACTGTATATGTTTTTTGTTTTTGTGTTTTTCGTTTGACAGCAGGTGATGTTCTGAAGCTTCCCTCAACTTGGAGGAAAGTTATTAGAAATTTTTACAGGTTCTTTTACTTTGTTTTCCCGCCTTCAGAATGAATTTTTTTTGGAGGGAAAAATTGTGAGTCTTGGACAAAATATGATGTGCTGATTCTTCCTTTTTGATGCAGGATTTGCTTTTCTATTTTTGTGAAAGTTTAGACTTTTTGGACAGATTTTTGGCAAGTTGTGGTGCAGGCAATAGCAGGTTTTTGGCAAGTTTTGGGCAGCAGTGCAGTAGCAGGTTTTTGGCAAGTTGTGGACTGATATGCAGAGTTTAAATGTGGAATTTGAAGATTAGAAAGAAAAAAAACCTTAAGGATTTCCATGTATTTTCGTGACTGTTTTGTAACATGGTGATGAGCCATGGTATCTTGATGAAACTTGTATGCTAAGATGACATTCATTCTTGACTTTTGAACTTGAATGAGTTTGTAATGATTCTTGCTGAACATGATATGTCCATAAAAACTCTTGAATAAATGTCGACTTGCGAGGTGCATTTTGAAATTATGAATCTTGAATTAATACAGAGCATCACTTTTGAAGAGAACCTTGAAAGAATCTTGCACAATTTGAATTTGAATATGATTAAATGAGACTTGAATTGAAATTGAACTTTGAATAAAGTCTGGACTTGAAATAATTATTGAATAACATTTTAGTCAAATAAGACTTGAATGTCTTTCATAACCTCTAGAATTTAAAATTGAATGAACTTGGATTCCTTGAATGGTTTTTTTTTACCTTGAAATGCATTCCAAATAAAACACCTAAACCTTTTATCATGAACCGAATCTCGATGAACAAACAAAGAACTTGATCCAAATCCAATTTTAATTCACTAATTACTAATGCTCTAATACAAGCAACTTGTATTATAGCAATATATAATCAATGAATCCTCAAACTCAGCATCTTGCCTTTACCCTTGACTTAGTGGAGAACAATCTCAACACAAAATCAATTCTAAGTCTAAAATGTTCAAACGAATTTCATGGCCTTCTAAACGCATTTGGATGTCGATCCTTGAAGCAATCTTGTAGACGACATCATTTGTGATATGTTGCAAAAAGAACCATACCAAAATGATGAAAATCGAAATAGTTACGATCCTTGAAAGTCGAGTAATTGTTACTTGATATTAGGCCAAAGTCATCAAAGTGACCTCTAAAGTATCCGAACTTTTGATGATCCTCCGCACCTAATCAGACCTTGACGGGTAAAGAGGGGTTAGAGATGGCGTCAAAGAAAATTGTACGCAAAAGTAACCATTCAGAAATGTTGAATAAATGATAAGTTACGATCGTTGAACTTGGATGTGTAAGTATTGACTTTTGGTCAAAGTGCTTTGAATTGACTTGCAAACTTGATCTTTCTTTGCATTCCAAAGCATCTTGATGCACATGTGAACCAGTGATGATGAAATCTTGTCTGTGCTCTGAGAGAGTTGTAGAGAAGCTCGAGACCACTTATCGAACAAGGCGTGGAAATAAACGCACGATTCTCCTGATGAATCAGTCTTCACGAACCAACGATTAACTGTACTTCTGGCTTGAGAGATTCTGAACCCTAATTGAGGCGTGACGCCTGATGCTCTTGATTCAGATCTGTTTCCTGCAAATGAAAACAAAGGAATGAGAAATACACATGCTGGAGTAGAAGTTAATGATACATAGGCTGAGAATGTTTAAAATACTTGACAAATTCTGCATAGCCAATGCTCGAAGGTGAGAGGTTAAAACCGACTATAATTAGTGACCTTGACTTATCTTAAAAAATGCAAAAATAAAAATGGGATCTTAGGTCAAAAATTGGGGTACAACAGCTGCCCCTATTTAAGTTTCTTCTATCTGGAGATATGAAGATTGAGATCTTCATTTCGACGAGATTGAAGGGACTTAAATATAAAATGCACAATTTTTGGCCTTAAGATACCGCGATTATGTTCATGATATGATATGAATGTAATGCTCTGAATTTTATGGGGAATGACGCCATATGAGACATGCTATGCTGGAGAAACCAAGCACATTATACAGTAATACCACAGAGGAAGAGGTTGTAACTCCACTGGGGAGACAAAGTCATAGACTTCAAATGAGAGACTCTTGAACGATTTACATCAGTATCGGGACTGGAAAAGGTAATGATTTACATCAACACTGTGGTTGGAAAACAAAATGATTTACATCAGCACTGTGACTGGAAAAGGAAATGATGGACATCAGTACTGAGACTGGAAAATGATTGTCATCAGCACTGTGGCTGGAGATAAACATCTCTGATTTCTGAATTTTACCAAGAACGGTAACACATTTCTTCTCTAACCAAGATATCGCTTGAAAAGGATAAAATAACAAACTTCCCCACGGGACTTTTCCGAAAGGGATGCCATTTGCTGAGTAGACATTATTGTTGGGGATACACAAGCTGCTCAAATAAAGAGGCCGCCACTTGCTATCTTTCAAAGGTGTCAATAACATACAAGTTGCTCACGAAGAGACCGCCGCTTGCTGTTTTTCAAAGATAACAATAACACACAAGTTGCTCATGAAGAGACCGCCGCTTGCTGTTTTCAAAGGTGACAATAACATACAAGTTGCTCATGAAGAGGCTGTTGCTTGCTGTTTCTTTTCAAAATTACCAATAACACACAAGTTGCTCATGAAGAGACCGCCGCTTGTTGCTTTCTTTTCAAAATTACCAATAACACACAAGTTTCTCATGAAGAGACCGCCGCTTGTTGTCTTTTCAAGGTATGAATAACACACAAGTTGTCTCATGAAGAAACTGCCGCTTGTTGTCTTTTCAAGGTATCAATAACACACAAGTTGTCTCATGAAGAAACTGCCGCTTGTTGTCTTTTCAAGGTATCAATAACACACAAGTTGTCTCATGAAGAAACTGCCGCTTGTTGTCTTTTCAAGGTATCAATAACACACAAGTTGTCTCATGAAGAAACTGCCGCTTGCTGTTTGTCAAGAGTATCCATAACACACAAGTTGTCTCATGAAGAAACTGCCGCTTGCTGTTTGTCAAGAGTATCCATAACACACAAGTTGCCTCATGAAGAAACTGCCGCTTGCTGTTTCCCAAAAAGATACCCATAAAATATCGTGAAGATATTGCCGGAGGTGTGAACCAATAATTTCATCGGGGATGGACAAACTGCTCATGAAGAGACCGCCATTTGTCGTAGAGAAATCAGAAATAATCAAACTGCTTAAATAAAGAGTCAGTCACTTGTTGTCATGTCGATATTCCAGAAGAAGGTTGTGATAACACTGTTGGGGAATAAAGTTCATCTTCAATGGGGAACCATGAATAAATCCTTCTTGAGGAGACCAAGTATTTACGTTGCAAAATAAATGCACTCTCCATCTAGGTTTCACAGCCTAGAGATATCCACAGGGTATCGTTCACAAGAGACAAAGCTCCATCCAGGAATAAACTGGAGACAAAATAGTCAAACAAGACTCCACCCAATGAGGAAACAACTCAAATTGGGATTTATCCTGTCCAGAGATGGAAAAGGGAAGCTAAAGTAAGGTTCTTCCATGAGAGTTAACTCAGTGGGGAATTAGAAAGGAGGCGCACTTTCTGCTTAAGTTGGCACTCTACTTGGAAAGATCAAATACATTATTTGAATAGACACAACCAAGGTATACGAGCCCAATGACATCAACAAATACAACTGTGTATGCATGATGCAAGTGTGAATGAATAAATGAATGTCATGTATATGCTGACA